TGAAGCTAAGCTAAAGCTAAAGCTAAGCTGAAGCTAAGCTAAAGCTAAGCTAAAGCTAGGCTAACACTAAGCTAAAGCTAAGCTAACACTAAGCTGAAGCTAAGCTATAGCTAAGCTAAAGCTAAGCTAACACTAAGCTGAAGCTAAGCTAAGGCTAAGCTAAAGCTACGCTAAAGCTAAGCTAAAGCTAAGCTAAGGCTAAGCTAACATTAAGCTAAAACTAAGCTAAAGCTAAACTGAAGCTAAGCTGAAGCTAAGCTAAAGTTAAGCTAACGCTAAGCTAAAACTAAGCTAAAGCTAAGCTAAAGCTAAGCTAAAGTTAAGCTAAAGCTAAAGCTAAAGCTCAGCCAAAGCTAAGCTAAATCTAAGCTAAAGCTAAGCTAAGGCTAAGCTAAAGCTAAGCTCAAGCTAAGCTGAAGCTAAGCTAAAGCTAAGCTAAAGCTAAGCTAGGGCTAAGCTAAAGTTAAGCTGACGCTAAGCTAAAGCTAAGCTGAAGCTAAGCTAAAGCTAAGCTAACACTAAGCTAAAGCTAAGCTAACACTAAGCTGAAGCTAAGCTAAAGCTAAGCTAAAGCTAAGCTAACACTAAGCTGAAACTAAGCCAAAGCTAAGCTAAAGCTAAGCTAAAGCTAAGCTAAAGCTAAGCTAAAGCTAAGCTAAAGCTAAGCTAAAGCTAAGCTAAAGCTAAGCTAAAGCTAAAGCTAAAGCTAAAGCTAAAGCTAAAGCTAAAGCTAAAGCTAAAGCTAAGCTGAAGCTAAAGCTAAGGCTAAAGCCCCCAGGGGACTGGGGGAACCGCGGGGCGGGGACTGGGGGAACCGCCCGGGGCGTGTAGCACTGCCCGGCCCCTTTAAGCTAGAGGGTAAGAACCCTTCTAGGCAGAGCCTAGGTAGGGAAAAACCATCGATTCTCCAACATTTTCAGAATTATCCCAGTGCGACCCTACCTAGGAGTTGGAGCCCCTAGGAAAGCAGCATTAGTAGTAACAGTAAAGCTAAGCTAAAGCTAAGCTAAAGCTGAGCTAAAGCTCAGCTAAAGCTAAGCTAAAGCTAAGCTGAAGCTAAGCTAAAGCTAAGCTAAAGCTAAGCTAAGGCTAAGCTAACACTAAGCTGAAGCTAAGCTAGAGCTAAACTGAAGCTAAGCTAAAGCTAAGCTAAAGCTATGCTAAAGCTAAGCTAAAGCTAAAGCTAAAGCTAAGCTAAAGCTAAGCTGAAGCTAAGCGAAAGCTACGCTAAGGCTAAGCTAAAGCTAAGCTAAAGCTAAGCTAAAGCTAAGCTAAAGCTAAGCTAAAGCTAAGCTACAGCTAAGCTAACACTAAGCTAGAGTTAAGCTAAAGCTAAGCTAAAGCTAAGCTAACACTAAGCTGAAACTAAGCTAAAGCTAAGCTAAAGCTAAGCTACAGCTAAGCTAAAGCTAAGCTAAGGCTAAGCTAACACTAAGCTAAAGCTAAGCTAAAGCTAAGCTGAAGCTAAGCTAGAGCTAAGCTAAAGCTAAGCTAAAGCTAAGCTGAAGCGAAGCTAAAGCTAAGCTAAAGCTAAGCTAAAGCTAAGCTAAAGCTAAGCTAAAGCTAAGCTAAAGCTAAAGCTAAAGCTAAAGCTAAGCTAAAGCTAAAGCTAAGGCTAAAGCTCCCAGGGGACTGGGGGAGCCGCGGGGCGGGGACTGGGGGAACCGCCCGGGGCGGTTAGCACTGCCCGGCCCTTTAAGCAAAGAGAGTAAGAACCCTTCTAGGCAGAGCCTAGGCAGGGACATGCTACCAAAGGGGTTTCACGCGCGCATGTCGAAATCGTTCGAACGCCCTTGCGCGCGTGTGTGGGGGCACGTTCCGTGTTAAACAATACCATGCGGGCCACTCTCGCGCGTCTGTCGTGCGCGCATTTCGAACTCCTTCCAAATTTCCACCACCGACGCGACGACGCCGTCAACGTCGCCGGCGTGATCAGCATCTGCGCCGTCACTGGCTGCCCCGTCGTCGCTGTCAGCATCGTCACCAGCATCGCTATCAGCATCTTCGTGTCTCCGTTGTCGACGTGGCCATTCTGCCGCGCCCGCTCAAGTCGCCGACTCGCACAGAAGTGCCCGCTGGGATGTGCCGAGCGGTCAGCCCCCACCGCGTTCGCGTCGATCGCGCCGAACTAGCTGGCCGCTGCGCGCGCGAGCAGGCGCGGGCTAGCGCGGCCGCAGAGATGCGGCAGCCAACACCAAGCGCTCCTCGCAATCGCCGCCGCATGGGTTTTGCAAACCAAGTTGCGGGCGGGTGGGTGGGATGATTGCGCGAGCAGTGGAGTGGACAACTCCTTGTGAACAGAAATAAGTTGCCCCCCCATAACACGTAGCGTGTAGAATGTGTAGGATGTAGAATGTGCGGTCAAAGGAGATAGCTCGTAGCGCCAAGGAGACCCCTTGGTTTCGCAACACTGATTTGCTAAAAAAGCTTCCGCGCGAGCTCTTGCGAAATCTTAAGAAAACCATGAATTTTTAAAGATGTTCACAAAATGCTACCAAACGGGCTTCGCGCGCTTGTCGAAATCTGTCGAACGCCCTTGCGCGTGTGCCGTCGCGAGAACCCTCTGCAAAAAATAAGACGAAGTGCAGACGCGCGGGTGGTCGCGCGCGTACGCCGAAATCCTTCAAAACCCATCGGTTTCGGCAGGATTTCGAAATCGCGCGTCCAAAAAAACTAGAAAAACCCAAGGTTTCGCAACACGGATTTTCAACAAAAGCGTGCGCGCGCGTTCTTGCGTCGTCGTCGTCGTCGTCGTCGTCGTCGCCGTCCTCCCTCCTCCCGCGTCGTTGTCGTCGTCGTCGTCGCCTACGTCGTCCTCTGTCTTTCCTCGTGTTCGTCGTCGTCGTCCTCCTTGGCGTCGTGGTCGTTTCCGTCGTCGTTGTCGCCGTGGTTGTCCTTCCTCCTCCTCCCTCGTCGTCGTCGTCCGTCGTCGGCGTCTCGTCGTCGTCCCTCCTATTTCGTCGCCGTCGTCGTCGTCGTCGTCGTCGTGTCGTCGTCGTCGTCTTCCCTCCTCCCTCGTCGTTGTCGTCGTCGGCGTCGCCGTCCTTCCTCCTTCTTCGTCGTTCGCGTCGTCGCCGTCCTCCCTCCTCGTCGTTGTCGTCGTTGTCGTCGTTGTCGCCGTCGTCGTCCTTCCCTCCTCCCTCGTCGTCGTCTTCGTTGGCGACGTCGTCGTCGTCTTCGTCGTCGTCGGCGTCGGCGTCGTCGTCTTCGTCGTCGTTGTCGGCGTCGTCGTCGTCGCCGCCGTCGTCGTCGTCGTCGTCGTCGTCGTCGTCGTTGACGTCGTCGTCGTCGTCGTCGTCGGCGTCGTCGTTGTCGTCGTCGTCGTCGTCGTCATCGTCGTTGTCATCGTCGTCGTCGTCGTCGTCGGCGTCGGCGTCGTCGTCGTCGTCGGTGTCGTCGTCGTCGTGGTCGTCGTCGTCGTTGTCGGCGTCGTCGAAGTCGTTGGAGACGTCGTCGGTGTCGTCGTAGTCGTTGTCGGCGGCGTCGTCGTCGTCGTTGTCGCTGTCGTCGTCGGCGTCGCTGTCGTTGGCAAGTGCCATTTGGTACCCACCGTCACGGTCTTAAGAGATTTTGCGATCTAAGTTGCGGGTGGGTGGGTGGGATGTTTGCGCGAGCAGTGGAGTGGTCAAGCGCGGTGCAGGGTAGTCAATTGCACAACATAGATCGCACCACATAGATTGCACCACAGACATTGCACCACATAGGTTGCACCACATAGTTTGCATCACGTAGAGTGCACCACGCAGATTGCACCACACGGATTGTTCCACTTAGGCTGCCCAAAGAGCGAGCGCACGACATATACTGCACAGCATGGACTGCACAACATAGACTGCGCCACATCTATTGCTCCACGTAGACTGCCCAACGTCATATATCGCACGACGCAGATCGCACGACATATATTGCACACCATAGGTTGCACAACATAGATCGCATTAGCTACACGTAGTGGACCACACATATATTGCACCGCATGGTTATCACCACATACATTGCACCACATATATTGTTCCACACAGATCGCACGACATACATGGCCAGAAACTCACTGATTGGGGTCCACGCTGGCCAACATGTCAGGGAGACTCCTTGCTAGTTCGATCTCGAATATCCAGTGTGATGGCTACTGTCGTTGGCTGGTTGCAACTCACTGTGTATTTACCCTTGTCGTGGTGTCGGCCCTACTATGCGTGCACCAGCAGAGGTAAGATGTGTCGGCCAACGGTATTTGTCATTTTAGGATTGCCCGGCGCTTCTCAGCGCCTGCGCCCTTCCGACGAGGATGGCGACGACGACGCTCGACGATCGACGATCGACGATCGGAGACGAGTGCGACCCCGAACATGTCCTGGGGCACGTTCTGACCAGAATCTCGAGGCGGACCCAGCCTTGGCAGCGAGGGCACCCCTGGAGGATGAAGAGCAGGCCCAGAAAACTATCAGATCTCGTCCGACAACCGTCTGATCCGACGCTGCGACGTTTCGACGTCGTCATCGTCGTCGTCGTCGTCAGCGGCGTCGTCGTCAGCGTCGTCGTCGTCGTCGTCGTCGTCAGCAACGTCTTCGTCAGCGTCGTCGTCGTCGTCAGCGACGTCGTCGTCGTGGTCGACCTGAAGTTGACAATTCGGCCGCGAAAATTCACGGCCGGAGCCCTAGACTACCTCTTTCGGCTGCCTCTTTTTTTCGCGCCGGATCGATCTGTGATGGTCCTGGGGCCCGACGCCGTGTGAAAACACCCAGAGCAAAACAAGCTGCAACTCCCAGACTTCATGGGACGACGACGATCCAGGAGTGGGTCTTGCACCAGCGGCTCGGGCCGTTGAGGGAGCGGTTGCACGACCCCGTCCGCCAGCTGATGGGCGAGGACTCCCTCTTCTCTAGGCCTCCTAGATGGGGTCGGAGTGTATGGGGTCGGAGGATCGCACCGCATCGCCGATGCGTCGGCGATGCATCAGCGATGCGGCTGGATGCGGGGCCCAATTTTCTCCACGCCGACGTCGCCGATGCATCGCCGACGTCGCCAGTGCATGGCCGATGTATCGCCAGTGCATCGGCGATGCATCGCCGATGTATCGGCGATGCGGCTGGACCCTCCGACCCCATCCACTCTGGCCCCGTCTGGGAGGCCTCGATCTCCCCTCTGCCCCTGGGTGGGTCTCCCGGCCTGGACCTCCCCTCTCCCTCGCCCTTCCCTCCCCTCCTTGCTTCCCAAGGCCTGCTCGCGTCGTGGCAGTGTCGCGGCGGGAGGTGTTGGGCCACTCTCGGCCTCGGATGGCCCTCGCCAGGCCTCGGGGCCGCAAAAGCCAGCCCCGGGGACCGCGCATGGAACAAATCAAGACATCGCACGTCTGGGTTCTTGTCCTCCAGTCCAGGGTGGTGGTGGTGCTATTTTCTTCCTGTCAGGGCAGCTCTTTTAGGGCGCGTATCTTACCATCGTGGGGCCTAGCCCGACACAACTGGCCTCCGTGCGTGGGCCCCGCACGAGAAATTCTTTGCAGAACGGGCCCAGGATTGTTCGGCCGGCGGCTCTGCAAGCGCAACAGCCAGCGGCAGGGGGATGTTCGACGAACAATAAATAACCCCAAAAATACACCAAAAAGGTAACAAAAATACTGAAAAAATAGTCCCTGGACTATTTTTGGATTACTGTGGAATTATTTTTGGATTATGTTTGGGTACTCTTAATTTTTCGTCGAAAATCCCCCGCAGGGGGACGGGCCCGACTTAACCCTGGCGGGCGGCGACAGGAAGTCGCAACAGTGCAACAGCCATGGCCAGCGGTACTCAAGACCCGATGGGCGGCGCGCGGGAATCGCAACAGCCAGGGCCAGCGGAGCTCGAGACTGTGCGGGCGGCCACCGGACGCCGCAGTTGTCAGGGCCAAGCGGACTCGGCCATGCCGAGCAGGCCAAGGGCTGCACGGGCGGCGGCCAAGAAACGCAACAGCCAGGTCCAGCGGCACCCGGGACCGTACGGGCGGCGAGCGGCGACCAGGAAATTGCGCCAGCCAGATCACCTGGTCTACTAAGCCTCCACGCCACCGAGTCTCTGGGCGGGCCGCCGTCACCGAATCCGTCTCTTGCAAAGTGCACCTAGTGTTCGGGACCGCCGCCGCCGCCACGAATTTGCATCGGTTGTTTGCAAGACTGCCTTCAGCCCACCCCGCTACCGCGCCTGGGCCGTGGGCCAGAGGCCTCGTCGCGGATGCGCGTTTGCTCCCTTCGAAACAGAATTATGTTGTGCAATTCGTCGCGGTTGCGCGGTTGTTACTTTTGTGTGGGTGTTTCGGGCCTGGGGGGGGGGTCAGAAGACCTATGTTGTGTAATTCGTCGCGGTGGCATGGAGAGTTCGGGCCTAGGGGGGGTAAACGACGGCGAAGCGTGATATTTCCAGACATTTCTTGGACATGTTTTGTTACGTATGTTTTCGGTGCGCGCTCGTGGGTTGAAGGTTTCGCTTGATTGTGGAACCGACTGCGGGCGCTTTCGGATAAGAGAACGGAGGTATTTTTGAATTGGGTTGCGGCGTCGGATTCCGGCTCGTATTTCGCGGCCCGACGATCTTCACATCAAAAGTATATGTGGTAAGAATGTACGCACGCATGCGCGCGAGTTAAGCTCGTCTACGTACATGATCTACAACGGTATCTTTCCATGCTCATGTCACGTAGTACATACAGTGTGCGCAGAGTCCGCCGCCCTCGTCTTTCTATTGTCGGTTTGGCTTTTGCTCGCGGCCGCCGCTAATTTTTTGTAACACTTACTTAGGGTCCAGGGCGTTGGCCGCCAGATTTGGGACCCCCCCTGCATAGTGTTTTTTGTTTTTTCCGTCGCCGCCGTGGGAATTTTGGTGAATACTTTTTCTCGAGCGTCGACCTGGTGATCCAGCCAGGGCCGTCAGTTTTGAGCCCCCTGATGGAAGTCCGTTTCGGGCCCCGGGCCCGCAAACGACCTTGGGCGAAACTTTGACCGCAGGGTATGGGTCGAGAGCTTCGGAGCCCAGGTCGCGAAGAACATCACGACGTCAGAGTTCTAGTATGGTCCCCTCTTGTCCCATCGCCAGATTTCACCTCCCCATCTCACCTCTACAATCGCCTCCACTCTCCCTCCCCCTTCTTCTTCTTCTTATTCTTATTATTATTCTTATTCTTATTATTATTATTATTATTATTCTTCTTCTTCTCTCGCGCTCCCTCTCCCCCTCCAAGAGGCTCCAGAAATCCTTTAGCATTATTTGGAACGAGAATGGCCGAGCAAATCCTATAGTGGAGGAAAAACATCTTCAAACTCTTGGTCGCCCTCAGGGGGTCGATGCTAACTGGGCTTCGCGGTTTAGGCCGTGGAGCTCCCCAGGGTGGCGGCGCGAGAAAGCGAAAGTAACCGCGCGCAGCGTGAAGGCCAAAAGGCGCGGAACGAGCGATTTGGCTACTCGGGTAATGGAGGGCGAGCCTTCATTTTGAAGGTTTTCGCGCCTCTGGGCCTCGCCACCCCACCCTCAG